ACACCAAGGTCATCACCAGATATACAATCAAGCAGTAAACAGTAAACAATACCCTAATCAAGGAACTACCAGAAAAAAACAAAACAACCACCAAGACAGGCAGGGCAAGCCACAGTATATAAACAGAGAGCAAACTCCACTCCATTCTATCACTGAAGATGTCACCTAGCTGGGTAACAAAACATTTGCAAGAAAACAACCAAGCTCAGAGAACCCAAGGACTCTGAATTTTATTACATCATGATTAAACCAGGGCTCAAGGTGAATGTAACAATTTATATTGCCGCCAGAAATGTAGCTTGAAGGAATAAATGAAAATGTCGGGTTCAGCCCAAGAACAACAATGAGGCAATCCAGTCCAGTACAATTTCTTTATCAGCTTGCACCTAATAGACAGAATCTCGCCAGACTCACCCTATGCCAAAGCAACTAGTGGATATACCCTGTGAGACTTAGGGAGGGCCCAGCCTCATCCTCTTTCTCTTCTCGGTCTTGCTGTGGACTGAGAAAGCACTTACTCTGGAATGTTCCCCCTCCCTCCTGATAACCTTGATCCTCCATTCCAGTATCTTCCTCGCTCAAGCCTTCCAGTACATTTTTTTTTATCATGGCACCTAAATTATCAATTCCAAGAATTACTTAAGAGTTTCTTTGCTCTCTGTAAGCATGCAGATAAAACTACTTTATCACAGCAAGCATTTTTAGTGTGATATGTTTTTGGATCTGTTTCCTAGGATAGCTGTTCATAAACTGCTATTGAGTTGTTTTTATTTGTGTTTTACCTTCTTTTGCTTTATTATACATTCCCTTACTTGTACTGTCCTTCACAACCCAAGTATAGAAAGGTTAGATACAAATATTAAAACAAATGAAACAAAACTAATTGGGATAGAAACTACCTGATCTTTATTTTTGAAATTTAAATTTATCTGATGTGAATCTCAACTAATTACATTGGCATCTTTGTTTACATATGAATTGATTTGTGAAATGCCTGTGACTGAACATAACAGCTCTATTGGCACAGACCAAAGATGTGTCTACTCCACTATTATATTTCCCACAATGAGCAGATGACTCTAGAAACCTCAGAAGCTGAATAGAAAGACAATAGCTTTTTTCCATAGTTGGTCTTTATTGATTGATATTCAGAAGTGAACTTGTTCCAGACGTGAAAGCTGGGCATAGTAAATATAACTAGTGGATGAATCTGACTCTTGGCAGAATACAGACTGAGTAAGTGGTCAACTGGCTTACCACAGTTGCTCTGTTCCATTATATCTGACAAATATCATTCAGTGCCTCTTATACCCTTTGAGTCAAAGGTTTGTCTACCATGCTTATAGAGTACATCTTCAAGGCCTGAACACTGACAACAAATTGACATCTCAGATATCCTTCCTGTGCAGAGTAAGCATAATGTACTCTGAGAAGTAACTTGTCTCTGAAAGCTTATCTTTATGTGAGTAATACTTACCTGTTAGTTAAACAATATATTACAAATAAGACCAAACACATTATAATTTTTTTTTAAAGGTTAAAGGAATGTGCACATTTGTATAAAATGTGCATCTAGTTTACATATGCATACAGACATGTCTCAGAAGATTGCAGCACCAAAAAAACTTACATGGGCAGGTCTATAAAGTTACTAGGAGTCAAGCTAATTTAAAACTATTACTAGAATTAATTTCTTTGCAGTAGTATCTAAATACTGCCAAATAAATAAATTTAATAATTTGTACTTTTACCCAAATAATTAAAAAAATAGTAGTCCCTCTTCAGTTTCTTTGCCCTTAATTTTCTACCAAATCCTGCTCCAATGTCAGGCCTAGCCCAAGGAACTCCAGGAGACCATGTAAATTCAGTCCAGCAATGTTTAT